TAGGTAGGCCAGGTAGGCCTGGTCTTGTGGCTTGTGGATCGTAGGCCAAAACTGAACAAGCTCTGCACATGAGTTGTATGCTATGCGCGACAACAAAGCCCATAGGCTTACATGATACCTAGGTATGTATTATCATCATTTTTATAGAGCCTATCTTCTTAATACCGTAAGCTGTCAAGGGTGTATATCTAATATCTAATATCTAATAAGCCATCGTGCCTTTGGCTTGCCAGGTTCGTAATTAGTAGACCCCTACCTGCTATCAAACCCGTTTAGCAGCCAGTATTTCAAGGAATAATAGGTACTAGTTATGTCTCTTATAATCATTATCTCGTGCAGGGAGGATCTCTCTCCACGGGTGCAGAATTTTTTAGCAGAATACTCCATTCTCTACGCGTAAAGTTTCGTATCCAAGGCTCTGCGTCAAATAATTTATATTAGTGTGCAATCGAACGACGGCCTTGGATGTCTTCCCTGCACAACCTCGTTTCCGAATCGCACATCATTCGTTGGCTCATTTCCAACAGGCAAGACGGGCACACACACACATACATACACACACATACATACACATACATACATACACACTTGGGCTCACCCCTTTCGATCTTCATACTTTAGCTCCGACGGCGACGTATCTTGGGAGTCATAGGTCTCTTCAGCCTAGCCTGGATCCCCGGTCCCAGACATATTGACCGACCTAGGGATATGGAGACTTAAGTTGACCTGCCGCATTCGATATGCACAATACGCACGAGAAGAACATCATCTAGAACTTAAGACACATACCACATAACTACACAGCACAGGCTGGGTACTTTGAAGCCCCGCCCGGCGGCTTTGCTTAAACCCTGAGAGGAAAACCGAAGCCACTAAATCATCGCCTTACATACGTATGATGTTAGGTATGTATTTTTGCTATTAACACGGCGCAGAACCGCCTCCTTTTGCAATCAGGCTTTCATCCCGTGGTCCAATAGTCCAAGTCCAATACGCGATAGTTGGCGTCGCCATTTTATCTCTTTGACCCCTTTTCTCAGACACGCCTCAGAAGCGGTAACGAAACAATAGCCTTTTCCTTCCTACCTAGTACCGTACATAGGAGGAATCTATGCCTGTCCGTTTGTACATACATACCTAGGTGCTACACTACCTCAGTAGTGGCGCTTCCGAGCGGGCTCACATCGTCACTGATCATCTTTCCCATTTGGTGTACCCGAACCGCCCAGCCCGAACTGGTCGTAAAATGTCTGATGAACGGATCACGAAACGTTTTCTTTTCCCCCCTCCACCCCCATCCCTTCCCTTCCTTTTAAGCCCTTAGTACTTTAGCCCTTTATTACTATACCTAGTCTTGGGGATCATGTTCCAGTTTTTCCCAGCATCGCAAGTGCTTCGTCATCTTTCTCAGCTCAGCACGATATGTACTACTTTGCCGTGATAGCCACCGTTTACGGATCAAATTATCCCGTGCCCATCTCGCCGCCCGGATACGACGGGTCAGGTTTACATATGGGGAGACAAACGCGAGTGATAGCGCCGTCGACACTACCGTGTTAGAGAGTCTGGATTGTTCCGCGACGTGAATTAAGTGTCGCCTACTACCCGAACACAACCCAAAGTGTCTCCGAAGTTCTTCAACTGTTCCCTGTGATAATTAAATCCCATGTCATTCAAGTAGCAGCAAAAGGGTCATCACAACCCCTTTTTGGACAAATAGAATTCCCCCTCTAATCTACATTAATCGACTTGATTAGTAGGTAGCCTTAACACACCGAAGTTCATGTCTCTCTAATGTTTCCCTACCCCCCTCTCCCTCTCCCTATCTACACGACGAGTAATAGTGGCCTTTCGATCAGCGCGTACCGCTTTTGCCTTTTCATTCCCCTTTCCTTTTCCCCTAAATTGAAGTCCTCATACGGTTAGGGAATTAAATCCGGCAACGTCTACAACCCCATCCCCTCCCTTCCCCTTCCCCAATTTGTCTTTACTCGTCGTATCATCAATCACTAAAGTCCTACTTAGATGGTCAGAGATGCTTGTCGCTTCCCTGCATCGCGTTCGAAGTAGCCTGCATAGCAGGATGGTGTATCTTACCGAGCCGATGTGTACTTCGCCGCCTTCTCATTAGTCCAGCGATCAGTCAGCACTTCGTCTCCTTTTACCATCATGTTGGCGCCATCATGTCCCCCTTTTGTCAATGACGTTGCCGACTCGTCGTTTTGCATACCTATATGTCAGCTTCCTTGACCCCGGCTTGCATCGCAAATTCCCACAATACCACCTTGCCATTCCATTGGCGATGGAGGCGACAGATATCAGTTCACTATCTTACGTCGCCCAAGTATGTATAGTATGCCGCTTGTTTAACGTGTGAGGCGTCTACCAGGCGGTCGAGGCAGGCTTCCTCTCACCGACATCTGGTTTTGTTAGCCTGCGCGGCGCAACTGACTCCTCCGCCTTCACTCCTAACCTACCATCGCGGTACGATATATGGTCGGTGGCTATATTTATGCACAGGACACAGTAGGAAGACCCCGCAATTGGAATGTTGACTGATGCGAGCCTTGTGAGCATTATCACGATGCTCTAGCTTGCCTATCCAAGTAGTATACATAGTCTTTTACACCTCTTGATTTGTTTCTGCCACTCTGCTTATCTTCGTCTCGCCACAGTTCTTCGTATCACCTACAATTACTTTAGTCCTGCATGGCCATTGAGGGGCAGAATATACTCGCTCCGTCCATCATTGGCGGATGGCTACTTCGAGTATCTAATTAAATCACGTTGTCCTTTCCGTCAAGCTTAGTACCCAGACCCATAGGTGCATATATACCCTGCATTGCTCCCTGACTATACTGTATTGAAGCCCTCAGGGTTTTGACTCCCGAATAAGATACACGGAATACACGTGGAAGAATTCGAAAAATCATGCTGTGTTGGTCAGAGGCGTTTACCTACCAGTCTATCAGGAATCAGGGAATCCAATAGATATGCTTGCGACTAGGCGCGGATGTGTTGAGATCTTGCCGCAAGATGAATCCCACGCTGATGGCAATCATGCTATTGGTAGATCGCGAGTCTAAGCCAGATTTTGTAGTCAATTTTTGCTCGATAGGTTATAGGCACATATGTATAGTCAACCACTCGGACTGTAAATCCTTTAGCGCCATCCATGACGGTTGGGAAGGTATTAAAATATAGCCAACTGATACATAATCACAAATGCAAGTCACCTTTCTTGGTCAAACTCTTATGTATTAGATCTCCAGTGAATATCTTGCTGTCTATGGATTTAGGACATCACTGCAGGTATTGAATAACCAGGATGAGACGCTGCATCTCCTCGGATGACATTCATATTCTACTACCTAGGACTGTTGATATCACAGGTCTATACCTTGAATCGAATCGAATCGATGCGACGGAACATTATACTTATAATATATGCTGTTACTATTAACCTATTATGCCAGTATTCATTAGACAGCACATGCTGGTTCCCATGTAGTGTCCTAGGACAATGGGCCAATAGTTGCCTGGTGGTTTCCGCCTAGTACACAAAGATTATATTTTCTCTAAGGAAACAGTTAAGGTTGCTGTATTCGAGTTATGGCATATATGGACGCCATTCTACTTTGAGATGTGTAGTATATACCTAATCATCGACTAGACTCTTCCTTAATGGGCATTCACGCCTATGCCAATACTTTATGATTATAGACGCAAAGACAATCGTAATAATATATCTAGCGTGGTATCGAACACCTAAGAGTCAATGCTCAAGTTTTCACTTATAGTAGTATCTATAGTGAGAGGTTACTGAAATAGGAGATATTCATACCGTAGGCTATTAGCAATGTCGATCGAGGATATATCTAGGTTAAGTAGGCTTTTCGACATCTTATTTCTTAACCATATCACTCTTCGGAAGTTAATTAATATAAGGTAGTTATCTAGAAGATAGGGAAGTCTGTATCACACCTGATTTCACAACTCTCTGCCAATTCATGATCAGTTCCTTTAAATATCTCTAATTTATTGATGTCTAATGCTACTAATTTAAAAACAAGATTCAGGGTTTGATACGACAGAGTGCCCTATCACTTCCATTCTTATTAAATTCTTAGTTCCGTAGTTAGGTTAGAGGTCCTCACGGAACAATGAAGTTGTTTCTATGCCATTTGGTTTCGCCTCGTGACACTTGGTACTACCAAAGCTAAGTCCCTATATCTCACCTTTGGAATTGTTTAAGATGGATCGAGGATTTGGCATAAGACTAGTAAGACTCGTAGTAGCTATTTGAGAGGCACCTGTTGGCTAGCCATACTATCTACGCCTGTATGTCCACGAACTGCAAAGAAAAGTAATAAGTAATGCTTCAAAAGGAAAAAAAGGTCAAGAACCACTGCTCTCAAATACTTTTTATATCTATGTCTACCTATGGGCTCAATAGCTCAGTTTACACCCAACAGATCATAAATCTGCTAAGATCTTAAGTTACTTCATAGTATGGTTGCCATACCTAAAGCGATTTAACATTTGTGATCCAGGGTAACTGTTATAATCAACTTAAAAAATACCATGCCGAGTGATTCCACGATACTTGTAACTAGCTTGTGTAGACTTGCTCAAATACAGGGAGCATAGTTTGTGGTATTTATCTCTTCCGAGGATCTTGAATTGGTGTGTTTGACTTTATCCATCTGGGTATCTATAACCATATGGCGTTGATCATAAACGGTTCCAGACACCTAATTATAAAGTATACTCGAATGTCGTAAGTAGTGTCTTAGTCGAGTTATATTAGAGCTTAGTTATAGGATTGGAAAGATGTAGACATCATCCTAGAATCCAACCTGAGGCTTAATTAATATCTACCTAGGTATCCAACAGGGACACGCAGGGTCCGTACGAGTACCATTACAAAAGTTGACGCGGATCAACATCTACGATTACACTTATATCAAATGAATAGGTTCCAAAGAATAACAAATCGCTTTGTTAACACGAGAATATTATGTACGATTGATGTGAAGACCAATATAGTATGCCAACCCAGCTGAACCATGAGGGTGCAACTCTTCTACATGCAGAATTATGATGTTCGCCACCCTTGACCTAGGCGGTAACCGACAAGTAACCTATCAAACCGCCTCTAGGTCCTCTTTCTATGGCAAAACTACCAAGCCGTACAAGTTGAGGACCAATGTATACCCCCCTAATACGTAATATGCTACACTCCTATCAGCCTTCGCTGCGCCGTTATCCGAAACCCGTCATTTCTAAGCACCCCTCCTCTGCTGGCAAAAAAGCGACGAGGAGCACATTTAGACCAAATACAATTGTCGTTCCATCGTTAATATTTTGTGCCGGGCAATGCCTTGGAAAAAGGCCACTAGAAGATACTTGGTATCCAACCGTAGTTGTTGACGGGAATTGCCAAAATTGTCTCTGGAGTTGACGAACTCTTACTACGGGCTAGCCCATCCGCCAGCAACGTCAACCCATTCAGCCAAGCACGAACCTTCCTTACCCTCAACATCTACGATATCAGTATCGCAGCGGCAACGGCAACCAACACCGTTCTCCTTCTCTGGGTCCCACTGGTCCCAATACTCGTCTTCTTCGACTCGTTTCCTCTCGTCTTGAGTTGTCTTCTCGAGGTAAGGTTCACGAGGAAGCTGGCGGGCAGGGGCATTGGCCGGACAATGTTGGATAGTGGTATGTCGGTAACCGAAGTCCCGGAAATAGTGGATATCACGAGGCGCCAGAAGAATACCGGCAGCAAGAGAATGGATCGGAGCATCACCCCACTAGCATATAGTTAGCAAGACTGAATTGTACTCGAATGATTGGAATGACCTACTCGTTCCATCCAGAAACCACCACTACGATCCATCATCTCGAAGAAGGCCTTGTACTCTTTGCTTCGGAACCAGCTAAGCTTCGCGATTTCGAAATTTGACCAGAAATGGCACATGTTATAACTCTCACCCTCCATGGCTTCGGGATCAATTTCGGGCAAGCCCATTCGGCCGGGGTCGCTTCGCAATATCTCTTCAGGTAGTGGCGGCTTGAAGTTAGGGTCATCCTCAGGAGCCGGCGGCTTCTCCGGCTTGGGCTCGACGAACATCTCCCATAGACCTTGAGACGTAATGTTGTTCAGGCGCTTGTAAGCAGAAGCATATCGGAAGATGTTAGGGACAGTCTCGCGAAGCTCCTTAACAGCGATGGTGAAACCATAAGTCTTGTTATACTCGATCATCTTACGGAATGGGTCACTACATATTGGCGTTAGTAGGTACGAGCAGATTATCAAGGATTACCTAGACTGAACATACTAAGTAATGTCACAGAAGTACTTGATCTCGGGCTCCAAACGCCAGTACCATTCGTATTTGGCAAGGAGAGGATGGTCATAGAAAAATCTGGGTCGTATTAGCTAAGTTGAGAAATCGGTATGCTTGTTGTTTACTTACCCGGAGTAGAATCGGCACATGGCGTGGTAGCTTTCTAGACCACCGTACATCACAGCGGCGTCTCCCTGTTTAGCAATACCCTCCTTTGCAACTTTCGGGTCTATCCAGTCTGGGTATCCCCACATCTCTGGGCCAACTTTGCCAAACTCGACCGGAGCAGAAGTGTAGTTGCGAACGATGTCCTTGAAAGTCTGGTTGAAGTCTCCATCGTTCAGGAAGACATAGGGATAATGATACCATCTGTTGAAATGACGCTCAATAGACTTAATGGACTGAATGACACCATCAAGCTCCTTGTTTCGGGCGAGAACGACAAACGCGCCGTTGACTCGTTCTTGGGTAGTATCGGGTTCGAGACAGCCCGAGACGAAGACTTTGTCGTGTTCTTCGCTGATTTTTCTGTTCCAAGACACGTGGCGATTAGCAAAAGCAAACATAGAATTAGAAATCAAACAACATACCGGATAGCTGGTGGTGCGCCAGCAGGCATCAATATCCTCCCTGGAGAGCTGGGATGCCTAACAAATAACACGAGGATAAGGACAACAACAATGCATGGAAATAGAACAACCACGCCTAACGGGACAGATATGCTGGAGTTGCCTTTTAATCTGAGAGGTCTTCTGAAGAAAGCGAGTCGCGATGTTAACCTGTTGAGCTGAGGTCTCTTCTCGCCCGAGGTGGGAAGCTGAGGCGTGCTCATGGCTGCAGGCACACGCCTATAAGCGCGCCGAAGCAGATCCATAATGGAACTTAGCGACGCCCTCGCAGACGGCAGTCGGAGAGGAGAGGTTGAGTTTGTTTCGTACAATCGGTAAGTCGTTGATTATATCGTGGTTGTCGTAATCGAAGATGGTTTATTCAATCATACAGAAAAGACCCCGCTACCGCCGTCTATCCGTATATTCGTCTTAGTGAAATGCGCAGAGTAGCGAGTGGCAAGGGAAAGATCCCCTCTCAAAAGGTTCGATGACGGCGAAGGTATTGATGAATAGGTTGGTGGTCGATAGGCAAATAAACGGTCAATAGGCAAATAAACGATCAATATGCATACGCGTCAGACACGCTACCGGGTCCCTTTTGACGTCGTTCAACCAGTTAACAGTTAACAAGGTTGAACTTTATCGTATCAATCTAGCAGATCGAAAACGACTGCATTGGTGCCGTCGATAAAATTCAACGGCGACAATACATAAAGCAGGCGCAAAAGGTTGCCGAGGGGCGACAATGTTAAAAAAAAAAAAAGGGGGTTCTGGTAAAGTTGGAATGAAAGACCAGATACGGAATAAATGGATACGAGGTCAAAAAATTGGGAATGAGATTACATGAGACGAAGGGGGTTACAGTGGGAAAAACCAATTAGGCCTTAACGATTAAGGTACGTTTGACAGGCCCAGTGGTGAAATTATGCTTAGAATAGGGACAAACAACCAATCAGGGTTCTGCGTGACAAAGACATGCACTGTGCAATTGATACTTATCATCCCTTGGAGGCTGTGATTGAATTGGTTAGGTGGCGTTATCTCGACCCACAACCTACGGGGAAGATCTTTTTCCGGGCAACTGGGGCATAGGTAGCACAAGTGGCTCAAAGTACGAAGTACCTAGGTTAGTTGGCAATGGCTTAAGGTTCAGATTGATTCATAAAAATAGATTTAGGGCCAACCTGAATTTTGGAGATTCCCCAGAAGTTCTCCAGAATTTCAATGTTCCAGAACACTAGCAGCTGGTATCGGACCAGACCAGCTCAGCAAACTTGTTGGATATAATTCAGCTTCCACGAGCTTTTATCCACAATGTTTCTCGACGATCTACCGCTTGAATCACATAGGGCACACATAGTAGGATAATGACTATTTAGAGGCAGCTCGTCGACGATAACTACAATGGCGCGAGGACTTATTATTTCGTATATCAAGGCTCGTAGTCGCGCCCACCGAGTTTTATCTTCGAACTCGTCATGCCCTTAATCGATCGAGTTACCGTCTATCACGATCCACGGTTTGGGAATAGTATTTATTGACTTTCCGGCTTCGATTGCTTGTCATTCTGTTATACTTACATAACGATATCTCCTTACAAGGAAGTTGATTTCCTCCAACGACGAGCTTAAAACTACGATTTCGTCAGTATATTCGACTTGGCTCTATATGGGATAGTATATTGCACAATATTCTGACGGGTCGAATATATCGCCAGGATTGACGACATCTTATGAAAGCCAACTCTTGAAGGTGCCCACGCCTGGCAGATCTCAAAGACTGCGGTATCAGAACGTGCTTCGCGATAATCATCTCCGTCATAAGATCTAAAATATTAGCAGTTCGATTCCCCATATTAACTGCCACTCCCTATACGGCCTATTTGCCACGAGCAACTAATAGAGTGCGGTCTTGACGAGGTATGGTGAGGTCACTGCATATTAAAAATATCTTGTCTTCAAGAGCATGTCACCCAAGCTTACGACACCGTCTTGATAGTTCATGCCGCTTGTTCCTGACGGGTTGCCTATTTGGCAGTGATGTTTAGGCGTGCCTATTCTATGGTACCGGTTATTTGTTACACTATTGAGCATCCCTCTCTACATCTGCCGGTGAGAGGCGAGTGAGTGTCTGCGGGGACCCCAGGCGAGACTCGATCTTGCCGAGTTGCATTTTGTCTTTCCGCCTAATTACATCAATAAAAGATCTTGCCTCCGCAGGCCGAAAACAACAACACCTTATTTTGTCATATCCATTATTACATACCCTATAGCTTAGGCCGACATGGTGTAATGTCTGCTATATAAGGAAATTTTGACCCCCATTGCCTAAAGGGGATCGACCTGTCAACAGCCTGTCCAATCAGCCCTCGCCTCCCCTTGGACGGTCGTCTCGAGATACCTGCCTATTAATTACTTCAAAGCGCCAAGAACCCCGGTTCGTGGACTCTCCGCATTCAAGATGGCTTCCTACGGAGCATGGCGTTGCATCATCAGGAGTGGGTTTGTGGGAGAAGCTGTAGATCCGTTGCTATATAACACGATACTTCCTCTGTAACCTACTCGGTCCTAGCTCTTTCAAAGGACTTTGCGTTCCATTAGGTGATTAAGGTTAACTACTTAGTTCTATACTTGTCATAGATCGGATATTAACATGCGTTTGTTGACGACGGCTTCGGTGGTGGCCGCCCTAGTGGGCCAGGGTGAGTAGTCTTTGTTACCGGTAATATAGAAATAATAGGGGTAATGCTAATACTAGATACGTCAGTTCTATCGCAGAATCCCCCAACATTCCCCTTCCCAAGCAGCTGCTCTGGCGTTGATGCTCCCCGATATGCTTTCACTGTTGATTCCGGCTGGCAGGTGACCAAGATCGCCAGCGGTCTTCGTCAACCCCGAACTATCATCTTTGACCCCCTCGGCCACATGCTAGTGTTGCAAGCCACCTCTGGTATTTCAGTCCACACTTTCGGCCCGGATGGTTGCATCAACAGCACCAAGACCCTCTTCCAAAACTCGGGTCTCAACCACGGTCTTAGCTTGACACCTGATGGCAAGACCCTCTACGCCAGTTCCCAGACGACAGCCTGGTCGTGGACATACGATGCTGCCGCCTTGACGCTTACGAACCAGAAGACCGTGGTTAGCGGCATTGGCCAGGGTATTCACTCGACCCGAACCACCCTCGTCTCCCCCAAGAACCCGAACCTGATCATCGTCTCCGTCGGCGCCGCTTCGAACTGGGATAACCCAACTATCGACCCGAGCGTCGGCCGTGCCATCGTTAAGGTCTTTGACGTGAGCAAGGCGCCTGCCAACGGCTACCAATTCAACAGCCAAGGTACCGTGCTAGGCTACGGTCTACGTAACGAAGTTGCCCTTGCTTTCGACCCCAACGGCCACGTATGGGGTGCCGAGAATAGCGGAGACGACTTCAGGAGAACCGTTAACGGCCAGTCGTCGGACATTCACATCGACAACCCTGCTGAGGAGCTGAACTACCGTAAGTCTCAAAGAGTCTGGCAAATAAAAATAAAAAATAAAATACTAATGTTGCCATTGCCGTTTAGTCGGAGATCCCGCCGCGCCCCTTGAGAACAACTGGTTCGGTTACCCGACCTGCTTCACCGTGTGGGAGCCGTCCAACTTCCGCGACAACACTGCTCTGAAGACCGGCTCGCAATTCGTCGTATCTCCCAACTCGACCTTCAACGACGCCTCGTGCGAGGGTAAGGCCATCCCACCGCGTCTATCGTTCCCGGCACACATGGCGCCCATCACCAACGCCTTCGACCCCGCCGGCGAGAACCTGTACATCACGTTCCACGGCAGCTGGGACCGACAGCCCGCTCAGGGGTACTTCGTCGCCGAGGTCCCCTTCAAGAAGAACGCGGACGGCGGGTACGAGCCCGTAGCCGCGGCCGACAGCAAGACCGGCTACAAGAACATCATCGGCGCCCAGAACCCGGGCAGCTGCAACTCGCCCTCCCTGACCATGAGCTCCTGCTGGCGTCTTGCCGGTCTGAGCTGGGACCAGGCCGGCGAGCGACTCTTCGTCAGCTCTGACAACCAGGCTTCGGGCGAGATCTTCGTCCTGAGGAAGAAGGCCTAAGCAAAGTAGGTAGTCAGTCAGCCAAGTCGTATATGGTAAGGGGGTTCCTCTGGAGGAGACAAGAGTACGTTGGAAGTTGGCGGGTTCTCGTTAGACTTTCGATCTCCTTCGCGTGTACGTAAAATATGAAGTAGGTCATCGGACGCTAAGTAAAAGGTTTAACGATACTTTGGATGTTTTGGTCTTTGTCTGCTGTTGCCGCTTTGCGTGAGAGAATATTATCTTCTAAAGTGTATAACTAATACGAATGTACATTTTACCTGGAGGTAATAAATGCTTCCTGCTGCTAGTGTTCTGTAAAGTAAAGTAAAGTAAAGTAAAGTAAAGTAAAGTAAAGTAAAGTAAAGTAAAGTAAAGTAAAGTAAAGTAAAGGATTAGGATTAGGATAGACAGTTGCTTACGCTCTTACGATTTATAAGTCAGCGGAAGTAAATACGGCCTATATACTTCTGTTACTGTAAATGCTCCATCGGCCGAGAACGTATATGAAGTAATGAAGCATGGACGATATTTCGGGGCAAGCGAATGAACAGCATAAACAGACTATATTTATCCATTACTATTGTCCCAGCCGTCGAGTAAAGTTAATAGGAATGCTAGTACACCACCGTACGTTGTATAAGTGCCTTAGGTAGCTATAGCTATCATACGAAAGGAACAAAGCATCATTCATAACATTCGGCTCCAAGCAACACAACCTGGGTATCATACTACTACTCCCTCGTTGGACTTCTCCCTCCACCCCTCCCAGCACCCCTTTCCTCTCACGCTACCCTCCGACGCCAACCTACTGTAACGCATACAGCTTCCTCGGCCGCCCTCCCGCACAAGAGCTAAACTTCCACCAGCGACCATGCCACGCGCCAGCAACATTCACGAGTCCCCATTTGATAGGAGCCGGGATAGGCGGCCAATTCGCCCACGCGCCGTCCTCAGCCGTGCCGTCCAGGTTCAGCAGGAAGAACGGCACCACGTCGAGCGTCCCGGCCTTGGTCACCGTCGTCTTGCCCCAGCTCTTAAACGTAGCCGACGCCTCCTCTGCCGCGGCGGATCCCGGCGCGGGAGCGTTCGCGTGGTCGGATAGGGCGGCGATGGTGGCGATTTCGCTGTGGAAATGCGCTTCGAAGGGCTCCTGGAAGGACTCCATGATCTTGACCAGTTCCGCGCCGTCGAACGTCGAGGGTTTGGGTTCTACGCTGCGGAGGTACTTTTCGAACCGGGCCAGTCCGCCTAGGAACGCCTCGTGTTCCTTGTGAGTGTCGGCCCAGATGGTGTTGTCGTTGAGGACGGCCTCGACTTTAGGGAATAAGGTGGCTTCCTCGTCGTCGTGGTGCGAGGCTACGAATTTGTGCCATGTTAAGGCGTACCCGATGAAGTCGGCCTTGTCGCCGGGCTTGACGTGCGGGGCTTGCTGGTAGACTGAGTTGTAACCGCGGAGGATGGCATTGTGTAGGAGGGCCATGTGCGTGGCGCCGGTGGTGAATATATCGGTCTATCGAGGAGGCAAGGTGGTGTTAGTTGGCTTATACTGATCTTGTCTGCGCTTGTGACATGGGAGAAATACCTTCTTGGTCTCAAATTGAGGAGTTGTCACCAACTTGATAGGAGCATCAGCCCAAACCACACTACCCGCCGTAGCGGGATCCAGAGCCGGAGCAGTCATGAAGAAAGGCGATCGTGTAAGGAACAGCCCGATTAGGATGGGAATAGCAATGAGTATAGGTCTATCAAGGATGCTTCGGCGCGGTTGATACTTCACCGGAGGTTCCATATTGAAAAAGGAGTACAAGCTAAGCTCGAGGATGTCGTGGTAGGTAAGCCTGCTTTTATTTCGGTGTCGTAGGGACACATACACACACACAGCTGCAGCTACAACGACGACAACCTTACGCAAGTCGAGTGTTAAACATTGGTCCGGAAGCTTCCTCGTACGAGGGGGGGAACATGCCATGCCATGCGTGACACCATTGGACGTAAAGTGATAGTAGTGTAGCTAAGCTGGCCCCTGTCGATGCAGATGCAGATGCAGATTTGCTGAGTAAATCTCTCTATCTTATTGGATACCAGAGCGGCCAGGGTTAAAGCTAGCAGGGATGTAAAGTGTAAAGCTCCGTGCTGGTGCTGATGCTGGTGCTGGTGGGATACGGATTATATGTATAGATCCGAATAAGATCGGGAGTCTAAGCTCGGTATCATCGACGATCTTTGTAAAGATACATACTTGTCTATCACCGAAGTCCGAGGGAGCTATTATATAGAAGTACATCTGGAATTACTCTACCCTCCTCGCGCTTCGGAGGATTTGAACCACCCCGAGCAAGACTGGTAAGACGTATATCCACCTCTCCATGTAAACAAATTTAGGGCTACAGCATCACGGAGAGGGCATTCTCCATTATCATCACTATGTAGGTATTACATAGTACCAAGGTATTAGACAAGGAGGTACACCTAACACCATGATTGTAAATAAATTCTTTATTCATTGCCATCTCACCCGACGAGGATCGGCGCTGTAACTTCGCTGGCCCTATCCTAGGGTTAGGCTTCTAATGATACGCGCAGTAACGGATGAACTTTCTTGTATACCCCGTCGTCACCCCGTAAGGCGTTCCTACATGTAGAGGCATGTAGACTGGACTAATGCCGCGTCGAGAATGCACAGGCCTTGAGTGTACTCGGATGCGCTGATATGCTGTTCCTATGCCACCATCTAACCTCCATCTCCATCTTTTCCCTTATCATGATGGTCGTAGACTGTAAATTTACCATTTACCATTACTTAACGCTGTAGCCTTATAGACTAGAAAGAACTCGCTAAGAGCAAATTATGCCTCTTGCTCAATTGCGAACGGTGTAGAGGCACGTGTATGCTCATTCCGCAATAACCAAGCACATCGTATATGCAACCCGGCCTCCGTGCGGACTTGGATATATAGGTAACTAAGTAATCTAGTCGTCCTCTCCTTCACGTTGGTATCGCAGCTCCAACACCCATTTATCGTCAAAATCGATACCGCGACGGATCTTAGTCGCAACCTTACGCCAGATGACCGGACCAAGTCCGATGTCAGCCAGGTAAAGCTTCCACTCCCCTACCATGCCGATGTCTCGGTCATCGCCCGACTCCAGTGCCTTCAACAGACCAACTTTCGGTGCGCCGAGGGCAACAACGTAACGGGGGTGGACGTAGAGCCTAGCTCCGTCGATGACGTTGACACGGCCGGTTTGAGGTTCGATGCCACTTGGCAGATCGATTGCCATAACAAAAGCTTCGTTTCTGTTTGACCATTCCATAAGTTCATACGTAGTGGCCTGGTCAGACTTTCGTAGCTCTTCAAATGGCGTCGTAAGCCCTAGGAGTGCATCGATGATTAGGGTAACGAAGCCTTGCGAAGCTGTCTCTAAGGTGTTACTAGCTTGGCTGACATGCTCGAAAAGCTCTGATTTTGTGAAGATGATGCCTCCAAAGTTGCGAAGGAGACGAGCTTGTTTTTTCATGTCTTCCAGCAGCTCCCGCTCCCGCTCGATGCCGACCACGCACACTAGGACGTTAATCCCATGGTTTCGAAGGTGGCGGGCAGCCGCTAAGGCACGGATTCCCGACTTATTATTACCAGCAAGAACAACTATGGTGGTTGTACTTGGCGGCGACGCTGCGGCAGCACGAAGTCTAATAGCGGGATCGTCAAGAACACGCATTACGACTTCGGTGATGCCGCGGCCTGCATTTTCGGCTAAAAGGTCCTCACTAAAACCAAATTCGTGACGCGCCACATTCTCAAGTGTCTGCATCGGGAGGTGGGCAATAGCTTCGATCCGGCGATTGGAATTAACGGTGTAGAATCCGCTAGGTGTTGAGATACCCTGTTTAGAATACATTAGTTAAACGTATAGTTAAAGGAAGACTAGCGAAGGAGAATGAATTTACCCCTGAGTTGACTCGACTCGAGCCAGCAACACTCGCTGTGGTGCTGGCCTTGCGAGACTGTGAACGCCGGGTCGTGGACAATCGAGAATCCCCTCTTAGCCGAGAATTACGTCCGCTACCCTCTACTACGCTTGCACGATCGCCCCCGTTGGCAAGATCGTCATCAGCCTCACTCTTCCAGTAGTCGCCAGGGGCGTCTTTCGGTTTGGATGCCGACGAAGGAAGATCCAATACATTCTCGCTATAATGAAGATTCTTCCCGCCCGCCGTTCCAGGCTTAGGCCGAGGGAGACGGTTGTGGGATACCAGGCGTTCGGCCTCATCGATCTGATCTTGCTCTTTCATTTCGTCGAATATTTTTCTCTTGTCAAATTTAGCAAGGCCGCCTTCAAAGTCAAAGTCTCCCGCTTCTTGCACGTCCGTAACGTCCTCCGAAGCCCATCCATTTTCCAGATTTCCCTCCACTCTACTTTTCTGGCTCTTCTTTAGTGCTGCGAACGGCTGAAATGACCTGGTGGATTCGAGGATAGGCGTCTCTCTCCAACCTGGGCCTCGGTTGGTTTGCTGTGCTGGAGAACCATTGCTATCAGCCATTTTATTCCTACGTCGACCCCGGCCTCGTGTGCTTTTACGATTGTCTTTTCGGGAATCGGACGGTTCGTCAGGTATAGTGGGAGCTACCTGGGCCCTGTGTTCTGTTATGGTGCTTCGCCTGGAATGAGGAGTCGGGGAAGTTCGTAATCTCGATGTAGAGGCGTTAAGTGTAAGTGTAGTAGTGGTAGCTACATCGGTCACCTCATCCGGGGAAGAGTATGTCAAGCGATCGGCAGGATTGGGGATGACTGGGGGATCCCGCTTCTCTGCGATATTTGGCTGAGCATGATAACGTGGGTCGCGGGGAGGAGCTGTGCTCGTTTTGGGAGTCAGGCTCAAGATTGCAGGATCTTGGAAGGCCGAGGGGCGCGCCGTTGTTGAAGTAGGTGTAGTTTCAGCAGTTGTGAGAGTAGGATTTAGAGTAGGATTTGAGGTTAGGGAAATATCGTTAACATTGCTCGCGCTGATGACCACATGTCCGAAGTATTGATTTGTGTCTACTCCCACAGCTACTTTACGTTAGCCAACGTTCCTATTTAGGCGACCTCTTGATGATGTTTATTATGAACCTTGGAACTTACCTT